ATTTCCTTCAGGTTGCGACCAATTCGGGTTGCGGCCAGAGTCATGGAACGAATTAAGTTCGTAAACCGAGGTTCCACTGTACATGTATCTCTGGGCTCCCTCTCTTTTAATCTCATCTGGGGCAGGGGGAATCCTGAGTAACCCCTCTTGGGAGGTTGGCAGCTTCTGGTCAGAAGAGACAATCCTGCAAGTACAAAGGCATCGAATCATGTAGGGCTCCAAAAGTGAAAATCAGCATCTTGAATTGGACCCAGAAGCCTATTGGTAACCAGTGCATCAACCTCAACATAGGTGTCACCCTGCTGATCCTGTTTCCTCTCTGCATTCTGCACCTAAGTGCAGCTTCCAGATTATCTTCAAGGACAGTAGTCTAAGCGAATGTGATTGCACTGTTGCAAGTTCTTTTAGCTTTCAGACGATTCCATCCCTTGGTAGCCTAGTGGAAATAATCCCATCGCTTCTCTAGGCTGCTTTTTTTTTTAACCTTGCTAAGTAGATTAGCCTATGGAACAACTTCATATCAAACTACACGCTAAGATCAAGAGAAAGAAAGTCCCATGATAACCTAGCCTGTCACCAGTCTGCTATGGAATGTCTCATTGCAAGTCTGTTAATTTTACAGAGATGTGATTAAATCATTGATTCTCTTAAACCTTTGATGCAGAACACACAATTGGAGTACAAGTATCTTTGTTACTTGTGGTGATATGATATGCTGTTTGATGGTAGAGTTTACCTAGCTAGACAATGACTGTGGTGTTACTGAGAGCTTCTTTTTCCATGCTGCTACTCCCTTTTTTGCCTCAACATCCCTTCCTGCTTCTTGGATAAAATAGGATTCTTGTATTGCCCTAAAGGAGTTGTTATCTGTTAGCAATTATAAAGCCAAAAGTGGACAGCACACCAATCTATACACACAAATATTATTTCAGCCTAACCACATGCTCAATGGAATTGATCCACTTGGGATCAATGGGATGTCCTGCAATGCTAGGCACACTTATCTGGGAGAAGATTTACTTCTGAATAGGCATGTATACAATTGCACTTCTTCTCTGTAAACTTTGTAAACCAGCATAAGTATTAGTCACATTCATGCTTGTACACTTATGTTCACAAATACATGACATTATCTTTTAGCTCCATAAAAATAGCTGCTCTGTGAGTACAGGGTTTGTGTGATTGCAACAGAGGAACATGTATTGTTTAGTAATGGTGTATTAAAAGTCTATTGTCAAATTAATATTGTCAAATTTACATTACATTAAACATCAGCAACATGAGAGAGCTACATTTTCCCAAAATTCTTTTAAAAAACTGCACCTTTTGCTTCCAAATTAATAATAAAGGAAAGATCACTAACACAGTTGTCCTTCACAAACATGAATGGAGAGCAAGCATTTCAACTAACATGTTACTAAAAATAGTTTTATTTTCATTTTATTATCAGATAATATAATTAATATCAAAACATTTACAGCATTTGTCCAGTCTAGAATATATCTAAAATCACAATTTTTATTTATTATTATACTGCCAACTACCAGCATCCCATGGGCAGCTTGCAGTAGAAATTTAAAAATCTGGGGGGGAAATACTAAAATAACAATTTAAACTAAATGCATCAACTTTTTTTTAAAAAAGGGTGTGTCTAAGACTTTCCAAATACAGGTAGTCCCTGGGTTAAGAACATCTGGGTTATGGACAACCCATAGATAAGAACCTATTGTAGCAAAATTTGAATTAAATACACAATGATTTGAGTTAAATACCCAATGGTTTGAGTTCATTACACAACACTACTTACACAGTATTATACAATAATACTGTTCTGGCTTATGTACAAATTCAAGTTAAGGACAGATCTTGGGAACAGAACTCATTCTTAAACTGGGGACTACCTGTACTAACAAGATGGTCAGTTCTTTCAATTTGAGAAGACCAGCAATCCAGAAAGCAGTTGCAGGTGATCATTCCCAAAGTAGGTGTCATACTTTTAAGATTCCAGCAGGTGTTTGGGTCCTCATTGTGTTCTTTGGGCTGGCCTGGGTGAAGCCCTAAAGGGATGATTCGATTTAATCAAACCTCCAATGAAGTGGTCCGTTGATGCAGCTCTACAAAACAAATCAGGACTTTTAAAATGTGGCTGCGCCTCACTCAGCTAGATGACAATGACTTCTGAACATCTGAGCTCTGTCATGCCTGCGCAGAAGAAACCCATTTGGATGGGAGTGGCCAGGAAAAGCCAAGTGGCTACTTTAGTGTAGGAGCACCTCACTTTTCTATGTCATGGCACTGGCTTGCTCCAGCAGGTGAAGCTGTTTTGCAAATCTGTATTGTTCATACATTTTGCTGTTTCCAGATGAGCATCAGTTGATGTAAATGAGAGCTAAATCCAGGCAGACTTTCCAGTAATCTGCAGTTCTTCCATTGCAAAGTAAAGACATTTTCCCCATTAAAAACATTGTTTTTCCTCCTTCAGTAAGAATTTTGCCCTGAATGACATGTATATTTGATTTCAAAAAATCCTTTTATACTTTCTGTCCAAAGGAATAGTAGGAAGATACTCTGTATTAATGATATTTTATTCTCATTTTGACTGATTTTAGCAAAACTGCTTTGGTATTTTTGATGAAATTGAAAAGTACAACATTTTTTTTAAGAAACAAAAAATCCTATTATTTAGGTAAGCAAACTGCTTGCACAGGATGTCCTTCCTAGAATTTTAGTGTAAGTCTGCTTCGGTTATTTGGCAGAAGAACATGATGTGATTGTAAGCAATAAAAACATTAAACAATTTTCACAAATGGCTTTTAAGTTCAAAGGTTATTTTTTTATATGGGGAAAAGCAAACAGGAGAACAAGAATTAAAATACAGTGTCACTAGAACTGTTTGTCCTAGCTATTTAACAGTAGGGCTAAAAGGGGCACCAATGCTGTAAACATCATTTCTACTAAACAAATGAGATACAGTCATGGAAGATTCTTAATTTGCACACTCACCTCTTTCTGGTTTACTAAGATTTCTGGGTGTAGGATTCCTTAAGATCCTAGAGCTAGATCATTTATATTCTGGTTAAAGCCCTTTTCACCATCTATATATTTTTTTCTCTTTTAATCATCAAGGTTTGCTTGAAGGCAATACAGTCAAGAAGAATATTGGTAATTTTTCTTCTGGTAATTCCAGGTGGGCTTCTAGCACTGCCAATAATTTTTGTTCTATGAGCTAAAAGCAACATTTCTAGTGTCCTCAATTCAAGGAGTCCATAGGATATATGTATCTTGGCGTATATTATCCACACATCCCTTCTCTCCAAATTTTAGCTGGTGAATGTCAGCATCTTTGTTGTACCATATGTATGTGTGCATGTGAATCTATTTTTGTAAAGAGGGAGAATCAGTAGATTGTAGCCTGACTTCCAAAGTTAATATGGTTGGGTCGGCACTAACAAGTTCCTACTACTTAGGGCTAATGTTTTGGAACCTGAACTAAGAATTCTTTTTCAAGCACAGCCTTTGATTTTTTTTCCTCATCAGTGTCCCAACCTGTCTAGAAAAATATAGAATTTCTGTATATCCTTAACCAATTTTACAACTCCCATATTTGAAGGGGTTCCTTTGATGCATTATTTTCAAATATTGGTTCTTCAAAAAGAAGATTGCAAATGAAATTGTTGATCATTATGTTTGCCTCCTTTTTCTCAAATTAAAAATAACTTGTGCAGGTTTCAGAATGCCTGTGTCTCTGTCAAATTGCAGAAAATTTGAAATTATGTTTTAATTTTAACTTGAATAAAAAATGTGGAAACCTAGAACCAGGTCCTACACATACTTAGTCAAAACTGAATACCACTTTGTTCAGTGGATCTTTTTCTGTGTTTGTAAGATTGGATAAACCTTGGGAGCTTTGCAAATAAATGCACAGTACAGCAAGTCAAGTGGGGGGGGGGATATCTTGGCATATCCTGTACCTTCTTTAGGGATGATCGTTCCTACTCTATCTTAGTCCCACATTTGTCTTCATATCTGTGTAAATATATTCAAAGACATTTCACTTTTCACC